ATCTTACATTTTCTGGTGCATTTGCATTGGTTTTTAATAATTGTGTTGCCTAGCCTAGCTGAACTTCATCCATCTCCCATTTTCCAATTGTGCATTTTTTTTGTTAATAGAGTCATCGCTTAAAGCACTTAAGACTCGTGTTCTTCCTAAAGACACACTTTTGTGGAGACTAAATGGATTTTGCATCTCACAGCGATTGAGCTAGGAAATATTGTTCTTCCTCATTACTAATTAGAGCTTACAAATTAGCACTGTAAGTTTCAGCTGGTTCTTAAACACCTGAACGTTAGCCAACTAATATTGACTGGCTGGTGTCTGCTGCCTGAGTGATGAGTCTGTCCCCATGGTGGCAGCTGTGCCTTGCTGTTCTTGCCTGAGTTGTCTCTATCCTTTGGAAGCCTTCTGGAGCTGAGGCCAGGTTCTCAGAAGGTGCTGGGTCTGGATGCTGGTAATACCAGAGATGGATGCACATATGCTTAAGGGAATAGTCTTACTGGTATAATGAGAAGTGAATCTCCTGGGCTCAAGAACAGGATCACTTTATGATCCAAGGCCTTGCTTGACTCCAAGCCCTATGTATCACTCTGGGGAGAGGGGCCCAGATGCCTGAGGGGATGCAGACTTTGGTTCTGGATCATTCCACAGCAACTGGATTCCGTCTGTCAGAGGATGTGTCTCTCTTTGTCTCCTTTCGGACTCTACACTGTGACCAACAGGCAGGGTTCCTTTCACCGTGACAAACACTGTGACCCACAGAGGCATCTTGGAGTTGGTGGCATTGTGACACAGTGCTTGGGGTGTGTGTGTGTGTGTGTGTGTGTGTGTGTGTGTGTGTGTGTGTTTGTGTGTTGCCTGAAATCAAGAGATGAAATTGAAAGACCAGAAGCACAGTGCACTTACTGAACTCTGAAGCACAAGGACTTTGCCCAGACTGGGGTGCATTGTAGTGAAAAGCACACACTCCCCTGGACGGGCTCTGCAGTCCTCACTTTCCAGGCAGGGAAAGGCAGCCAGAGCCCACTCCGGCCATGAGCAGGCTTCCTGAAGACAAAAGCAGAAGGGTCTCATCTGCTCCAGAGTTGCCGCCAGTTTTATGGGTACGCTTCTCACCCCTGTTCTGTTACTAAAAGTCAAATAAGGCACACATCATATGTCTCTCCCCGAACGCAAGACCCATTTCCCCCTAATAAGTCTCTGGTCTGCCTGGGCTTTCCTCACGTGAGAAAGATTGAGTCTCCAGTGGTTCCCACTATGGATTTCTGTTTTTTACCTTACATTGCCCCCCTTCTCTGTTACTTTGAACAGAAATAAAGCTAGTGCCTGCTTCTGCACATAGTTACATGTACATAAGAGGAACTTCTCTAGGATGGAGTGAGGACCAGATATTCTATGCAAATAGAGGGCAGCTTTGATCTACTTACCTGCAGCTCCCAGGAAACAGAATCCTTGGTTGGTATGACCTGTGCCTACCCTGCTCTGGGCCGTCTGGTGACATCCTGCAGACAAGCAAGCCATGGGCATTCTAGGCCTTACAGAAACAGAGCCCTCTGCAGTGGGCAGTCCTGGAGCCAAACCCAGAAGTTCAAGGTGAAGCAAGTCTGACAGTAGCTTAGACAGTCAAGGGAGGGGAGTGGCCGGAGCACAGTAGCCAGGGCCCTCATTTCCAGACCCAGTTCTCTGACATTGCTAGGGTACACAGTGTAAAGGTGCAGGGCAAAGTTCACAGTAACATCTAGAGCCTGCAGAGAGGCCACAGGGATGCGGCTAGGCCCTGTGGATGGAAGGGAGCTGCTGGGTTGGTGCGGTTGGCAGCCCGCGCAGATCAGGATCGAGTCAGAAGAACTGGGGCACAGTGATGATTTGGGAAGGAGGGTTCAGAGAAGGAAAGTCTGGGCTCATAAGGCAGCTGGCCATCTATGAGTCCAGCTACAACTCCGGTCCTGACCTTTTCTCTTGTGCATGGCATGCCTGGACCCAAAGCAAATCCTCACTAGAGGCCAGAGGGAGATCAAGTCTAAACCGTGTTTCAGATGCAGGAGTTGAGACTGAAGGGAAAGCTTGGCCCGGGAGGCTTGGGCATCCTCCTGGTGGTTCAGCAGACCCTGCCTCTAAATCTTCTCATCAGGTTGCATGAGGCTGTGGTGTCCCCTCAGTGGCCCTGAATGCTATGTGCTGTGACCTATAGCTGAGTAGTGGATCTAAGCTATTTCTAGGATATCTGGGACCGGGTGTGAAAACATATGGCTGCTTTAGGGAAGCTTGGGCATGTTTGTTGATGAGGAAAGCCTAAAAATACTGGCAGACTTCTTGATTCAGAACTTGTACTGGACTGAAATTTGTTTTTATTCTGTTCATGGAAAGAAAGAGGGAGAGTTTTGAACAGGAGATTAATAGGGTACGTAAGAGAACATGGGCTTCCTGTTCTTCTCTTTTAAACACTTTAATGATGTCCACAGATCTGCAGAAAGGAGGGCTGTAGGACCTCAGGGATCCTCGCAGCCAACCCAGCTCATTTTACGCATGAGCACACCGAGGCCTTTGGGTTTGGCTGTGGACCTAATTAGCTATTAAGCCTGGCTAGGAGCCTGCGGTCCAGGCTCACAGACGGGTCTCCTCTCTGCTGGAGCCCACACGCGTTCACCGAAAGCATTCAGCGTACTGAATTAACATTGATAATTCGTCAGACATTTACTACCAAGTGTGGTCCTTGTCCCTATTCAGACTTAGCATCCTTTAGCCAGCTGTCGGTGGAGCAGCTCCTGCAGCCTGTGGGGGAGGAGCTTTAAAGATGGAAGGAGGGTAGGAGGAGCGAGCTTACCCCTCAGTTCCTACGCCCGTCATGGTATTTATTTCTAGATGGGGCACACGACACATCTGTGAAGAGGATAAATGACCTGCTGCTACATCATCACAAAAAGCTATAACACGGCTATGGGGGACAAAGATGTCTTTGCGGAGTACGAGGCCCTGACTTAACCTTGAAGAATGGATGTGATTTTGGTAGGGCGAGAGGAACGGAAGCTATTTCACATGGAAATGCTGGATGGGATGGTATAATAATCTGAAGCAGCTTCTGAAACTGTCGGTTTCTAATCCCTGGAATTTATAAATTCTGCTTTGGAGTTGGAACGAGCTCTTTGCAAATGTGGTTAAAGGACTTTGAGATGAAGAGATTATCTTGGACTGTCTGGGTGGGTCTCAAATGCAGATGTTGATAGAAGAGAGGCAAAGGGCAATTACAAGTAGAAGATTACGTAAGGCAGAGATCAGCGTGAGCAGGCCACCAGTCCAGGAGTGCTGGCAGCCACCAGAAACCCAGAGGCCGAGAATACATTTCCCCGTCAGCCTCTAGGGGGCGCACAGCTCCCTCAGACACATTGATTCTGATCTAATAATGCTGGTTTCAAAAGAATTAATTTCTGTTGTTCCGAGACAACAGAAGCCTTGTGGTAATTTGCTGCCGCTGGCCTAGGATACCCATACAAAGAGGAAAGGATGAAACCCAAGTGGGGAAGTGTGGGTAGGTCGAGATGCCTACCAGAAGCGCGGTCAGATATTAGAGAGATACTGAGTAACTGAGTTGAGGTCAAGTGTTCTATCAGTTTGAAGAGGGACTGCGAGTTTCTGCATGCGTCTTACAGCGCTGAGTGGAATACAGAGCTGAGGAAGAGAGTCATGGGATCACCTTTACTTCCCAGTGGCACTTCTTACCATGCTCCTGATTATAGGTAGTGAGTGCCTGCCGGATGCCATGGTGAATACCAGCAACTGCCATACCTGGGTGAATTGAGAAACGGTAGTTCTGCCACAGGGCCAGTGTGCTGGGGTGTGATGGAGGGGCCATCGCCTCTTTAAACTGGGATCTCTGTTCCCTGGGCCAGGTCTCGCTGGGCTGTGAGGGGCAAGAAATGCTCTCCCAACAGAGGGCTAACGCCTCACGGTCCCGGAGGGAAGGAGGACTCTGGGGAATTCAGAGCAGCCCTGGTGGGGGGGGGATGTGAGAGGTTGGTAGGTCGCTTGCCCTGCACAGTGGTCCTTATTAATAGCTGAATCTAGTTCTGCGCCAGATTCAGAAAGTATTAAAGAGGGCTTTTGGGCTTTCGTGGCACTCTTATTGATCTGAGGTTGTTTAGAGCCATAAAACAACTGTAAATTAGAGGCATGAAATAAAAAACAGCAGGATACATAACTCCTATCCTCTTTGGAGGTTGAAAAAGCTTTCTGCACAGTCTCAGCAGCAGCTGGACCTGAAATATGTCTTCACGTGGGGAATCTCATTCTCCTGTCCTCCTGGGGGCCCACGAGAATCTTCTCCACAGCTTGGCCTTGCCCAGAAAGTGTCCTTGGCCTCTGGCTGTGCCTGCTCCCTTCTTTTTATTTTCTTCCTCTTCCCTCTCTTCTCCACCCTTCCCTTTGTCTGTCCTTCTTTTCTTTTGATTTTGTGGTACTGGGTGACTTTCACATTGAGCTCCTTCACTAGCACTTTATTTCTTTATTGTTGAGACAGGGCTTTACTAAATTGCCTGGGGTAGGTTTCAATTCACAGTCCTCCTGCCTCAGCCTCCAAGAGTACCAGGACTGTACGTGTGTACCATTATGCCAGTTCACATTTCCTTTTTGTTCTTTGCTTTTTTGTTCTGTTCTTCTTTTTGCCTTTCCTTTATCTGATTAGAGGGTTTTGTTTTGCTTTGTAGTAGTCAGGACTGAACTCAGGTCCTTGCACACACTAAGCTATCACTCTACCACTGAGCTACATCCCCAGCCCTTAAAAAAGATTTATCCTTTTGAGGTAGTCCTTCTGAGTTTCCCAGGCTGGCCTTAAACTCAGGATCCTCCTGCCTCAGGCTCCTAATCAGCTGGGATTACAGGTTGCACCCCATGTCTGACATGAAGGACTTTAATATATATTCGTAAAGCAGTGGAGCTAAGAGATGGTCACCAGTCACTGCAATGTGATGAGGTCATCCGCGTGACCAGTGGCCTTTTCCTTTTCCTTGCAGAGATCCGAGAGGCCTTTCGAGTTCTGGACCGGGATGGGAACGGCTTCATCTCCAAGCAGGAGCTGGGCATGGCCATGCGCTCCCTGGGGTACATGCCGAGCGAGGTGGAGCTGGCCATCATCATGCAGCGCCTGGACATGGACGGTAAGAGCCCGCAGGCCGGACCTGTGCTTGGCCGAGCTCCCTCTCTTCCCTGAGACCCTGGAGGGGCCTGCATCTTGTGTCCAAAGACACAAGCCCATATCTCAGTTTGCATTTGAGGAGCAGAAACTTGGACTGCATCAGGGTTTTACCGAGTAGTCTCATGGAGATCTAGGGAGCTGCAGAGGTGGCTTGGGGCTGTCGGAGGAATGGAGCAGAGGAGGTCTGGCTGGGGAGCAGTTAGAGCCCTCCTTCCTTGTGTTCCTTTTTTTTTTTTTTAAAGCACTTTATCGAAATAGAATTCACATACTATAAAATTCACCCATTTAAAGTCTACAACTCGGTGGCTTTTATTACAGCCACAGGTTTGCGCAACCAGTGGTGCATTCAATTTTGGGACATTTCCATCAGTCAGATAGGAGGAAGCCCTGCCCCTCTGAGCTGTCCACTCCTCCCATTCGCTCTGGCCCTCGTCAGTCCTTCTGTCCCCCTAGGCCCCAACTGGCCATGATCCCCTTTCTGTCTCCACGGAGCTGCCTTCCCTGGCATTTGGTATCATGGAGCTAGGCAATGTGTGACCCTTTGCGACTGGCTGTTATCTCACGTAGTGGTGTTTTCAGCACTCACCCACGCATAGCATGAGTCAGTATTTCTTTGCGTGGCCAAATCATAGTCCTTGGTGTGGACATAGCTCCCCCTCTGTCTGTTTTCCATGCTGCTTTTCCCCATAGATGTAACCGCATGAGGGCAAAGGGAGCCACTGCTTGTGATTGGCGTGGGGGTGGTCAGGGAAGGCTTCCTGGAGGAAGAGGAATTTGGAAGAGGGTCTTAGAAAAGAGGAAACCTGGCAAGTGCCCTGGAGTTCTAGCCTTTTATTTAGTTTCCTCCTCTGCCAAACCGGGAGAGCCATGGCTGTCTTGATTGTCACAAGATTGTTACAGGGATTATATGCAAATGTATGGCAAGCTGCGTGGTATGGTGTGTTTAGAGGTGGGCCTTTGGAAGGTGACTAGGCCCTGGAGCTACTAGTGCTGACTTCCTGCTGGCGTGGTTGGAGTGGGTCACTGGAGGCGTGATCTGGGGTGGCCTCTTTGTCTCCTCACTGCGTCATACACGAGCCGCTTTCCTCCTCTATGCCCTCCCACCATCTGTTTCTGCCTTAGTCAGTGACTGTGGATTCAAAAGAAATCAGAATGAACTCCTCCTCCTGTAAGTTGTGCGTTTCAGGTATTTTGTCCCGGAGACAAGGAAAGGGACTAAGACACTACATTGCCTTAAGAAATATGGGTCCCCTGTCTGTTTTGGGTACCACGCTGCCTGCAGGTGCTACTCAGTTCAGCTTTGTCCAGCATTTGGCTCACAGTTTGTAGGGGTTTCTGTCTGTAGTCAGCTGCTGCTGAGGCAGGGTGGTATGGCAGAGGGCTGTCACAGAGGAGAAAGTCCAGGGCAGGGCAGGCAGGAGGCAGTGAAGTGAAGCAGCAGTAGCCACCTCCCTTTCTGTCTCTCTCCATCCAGCCTGTTGGATGGTGACACCCAGGCTCAGGCTGGGACTTCCCATCACTTACACCCAGAACAATGCTGGGCCAGTCAGTGGTCTAATATACTTATCATACCCTTACTCCACATCCCATACCTTAGCTTCAGCTGCCTCTGAAAAGCCCCACCTCTGAGAGTATGAGACTTTGGAAGAACATTCAGATACCAGCAATAAACAGCATTTTAAAGTCTCTATCTAAAATAAAAAATTAAACATATATAAATGGTAAACATTTTCAAAACATTATCGCATTAGGTTAACTTTGTCTTTTTCTGTGCTAAAATTTGAACACCTGTCCAAAATTGCCTGAGCATCCCAACATTGAGAACCTACCTTGGCTCAAGGTCTAGGAAAAGGAGAATTTAGTTTTGTGAACCCAACACTCTCTCCCTCTTGACTCGGATCCACAGTAAGGCTCTGAGGTTGAGCATCATGCTATAGACCAAGTGGAAGGGATGAAAGGCAAGCCCCAGAGCATCTCTTTGGAGGAGGAGACCAAGGTCATGGTAAGGACCCATTTGCTTGGCTTGCAGTTGCTGGAGCGTGGCTTTCTCCTCTTATCTTACTGGACTTAGCGAGAGGATGATAATATGGTGGCTGGACTTCAGTGCCAACCCCAAGTGCAGCTGTGGACATTTATTTTGTGGTTGAGGATGGAGATGCTTTATCAGGGTATTCATTGTATGAGCAGCCCAGCTTGTCCTCACGGCTCTGATTGCTTGTGACTCGCCAGGCCTTCACAGGCCTAATGTGACCTTGCCTGGTGTTTTTGAGATATTTCTGAAAAACTGGTGTAAAGTATATATTTTATATAGCAAAACCTCTCTTCCATTGACTTTCATAAGTATTTCAGAGGCACATTTGCAAAAACTGTCACCTCTTTCAGCTAATAAAAAATATTAACCCATGCCTCTGCAGAACCAAGAAGATTTTGTGCTTTTGATTCTCCCCATCCAGTGTTTATAATAAAATCTAGTCAAGAGGACCAAGTGACAGTAGAAATAATTAGCAGCTTTAACATGAGTTGGGCTGTTGTGGTAGATTACTCTGCTAAAATTTAAGGGTCTTTATTTAGTTTTGAAATGTATTTAGTACAAAGTCTACAGGGTCTCACTACACAGATCAGACTTGTAGTGATCTCTTGTTTTGAGCCTCTCAAGTGCTGGGATTACAGGCACGTGCCACCATACACAATCTCAATCTACTTCTCAGCGTGCCCCAGGGGCAGTACTGGCACCGCATGCTGGGGATCGAACACCAGTCCCTGTGTCTGCCTAAGCAGTGCTTTAATCTGCTGAGCTATTTGGCTGGCCCTTATGGGTCTTTAGAAAAGTCTGTTTTCATTCTTTGTACTTTATGGCAATAGTCCGTCTTATCCATGGGAAGCACACTATAAGACTCTATGGGTAACTGAAACCACATATAATGTTGAACCTTAAACATACCTATTATGCCTATTCAAAAGCTTAATTTATTCATTAGGCACAGTAAGATATTAGGAGTAATCACAAATATTGAAATAAGGAGCCTTGAACACTTCCTCTGTGATACTCGTCTGTTAACTGAGATATCTCCTAAATAATTAGCAGGTGGGTAGCATATACAACGTGGAGACCCTGGATAAAAGGATGGTTCATATCCTGGGAAGGACAGAAGGAGGTGTTATATGAGATTTCAACCCACTGCTCAAAACAGTGCATGATGCAAAGCTTACCAATTGTATACTTCTGGAATTTTCCGTTTCCTATTTTTGGACCATGGTAACTGAGTCATAGAAAGTGAAAGCATGAATAAAGAGTCACTACTGTATTTCCTCTGGACTCCAGCTCATGAAGAATTTTGCATTCCTGCAAGTCCTCTCTGATTCCCCACGGGCACAGGGTCCCTGGGAACCCGAGACCTTTCAAGGACTCCATCAGTATTCAGACACGAAGGCTCCTTCTGGGACGTTGTGTAAGAGATGTCAAGTTTCACCAATTTATTGCAATTTATCTTATCCAGCTGCTGATGCTGAAGGCAGAACTTCTAAGCAGATCTCATAAAGAGTTTCTATTAATTCCTTGAACAAAATCCAAGTCACCAGCTATTTTACAGTGACCCATCAGGTAAAAAAAACACATTTATTTACTTTTAAAGCATGGCTTTAAAATGAAGTCTTGTTTTGTGATGTATAAAAGATTTAGCACTAAGTATGTTAAAATAACACAGCATTATAGGCAGAAGGAATTGCCTACACAATTTATTAAATGCCTAAGAGTGAAAAGAGTCAAACAGAAAATGCCTGGACTGAGGTTGACATGTGAGTCTTTTAAGGCTTTCATTAATGATGCCAGGAAGGGACATTTCTGGGGTACCAGACTCTAGAGATGGATGGGTTGACTGTTTCAAGTGTCCTTCTCTCATTGGGGGCCTTGAGCTGTTCTGTTAAAAAAAAAAACAGTATCTAATTATATCCTTCCTTCCTCACTTTGGTAACTGGAGATCCTCCACAGGAATTTGGTTCTACCTAATTAAGTTTCTCTTTGGTGTGGAACATGTGGAACGGCAGATATTTTTATGGGGCCTATGCCAAAAGAAGAAAGAGAAGAAGACAAAAAAGGAGGGCTGAGAGCCAAGCTTAGGGCTTCATATGAGATGATAAGCTGACTGTGTCTCCTGGCCCACACACTCTGGCATCTGGGGGTCACAGGAGAGGTGCCCCGCTTCTCGCTCCATCCCAGCTGACCATGATGAGGAGCGGGTCTGGCCCACACACCAACCTTCTCTGTCTGAGGACCCGACAGTGAGGTCATACCTTTGGCAGGAGGCCAGCTGGCATCAGCCTGACTTGTCTGTGTGTACCAAGTCGTGACATAAGGTTTTCATTAGTTGGCTTCTGGGGCCCAGGTGCCTTGCCGGCTGCTCATGTAATGGTAGCCTCCTTGGATTACAGAGCACGCCTGCATTTCCTAGCTGCAGGTCCAGCCAGACAGCTCCACAGGACAGAATTAAAGTGGACTGGAGGGTCTGGGATTACCTCCTGGGCTGCAGCCAGTTGGCCCAGAGGTGGATTGACTGGTGTGTGTGTGTGTGTGTGTGTGTGTGTGTGTGCGCGTGCGTGTGTATGCTGCCTGTATTGAGCTAGAGTTAAATAAAAACTCACAACTTCTATCCAGTGCCTAGGACTTCCTCTTTTACCCATGACTGTGAAAGTTCTTTCCTGGAATTTGGACTCAATTTCACACTTTCTGTACACCCTGGACTGTGTCTGTCTCCGTCTGTCTGTCTCTGTCTCTCTCTGTGTCTCTCTGTCTCTGTCTCTCTCTCCCCCCCTCCATCTCTCTCTCCATCTCTCTCTCTTTGTGGTACCAGGAATTGAACTCAGGACCCTGTGCTTGCCAGGCAGGTGCTTATTCTACTGAGCTATCTCCCTAGCCCTGTACTGCTTCTCTTTTTGCCAGCCTTTGCAGCTAAGGTGCCTTGTACA